GGGGAGGGGGAGAGGAAAATGAGGACCTAATGCCGGGGGCTTAAGTGGAGAGGAAATGTTTTGAGAATGATGAGGGCAATGAATGTACAAATGCACTTTACACAATTGATGTATGCATGTATTATGATAAGAGTTGTATGAGCCCCTAATAAAATGATTAAAATTAAAATAAAAAAAAAAGAAGGTCCTGGATAGAGTGGGAGAAAAATGTGCAATACTCATTGATACTCACCCTCCCAACACGATCGCTGAAGACAAAAATGGTGCATAAGCAAATGTGGTGAAGAAAGCAGATGGTGCCCACTGTCAAAAGATACAGGGTCTGGGGTCTTAAAGGCTTAAAAGTTAAACAAGCGGCCATCTAGCAGGGAAGAAAATAAGCCCACATGGAAAAGCACGCCTGCCTGTGTGATCATGTGGTGTCGACGGCATCAGGTATCAAGTATCAGAAGATCCAAAACAAAGAATTATATCAATGTGAAAAGGGGGGGTTGGAGTGGAGACCAAAAGCCCATCTGTAGACAATTGGTCATCTCCCCACTCAAAGATTACAAGGAAGGGATATTCAACCAGGGTGCTGTATAACACCAACAAAACACATGATTCCTGTAGTTCCTGAATGCTTCCTCCCCTGCACTACCATGACCCAGCTCTACCTTATATATCCAGCTAGACCAGAGCACAGATAAGAGTTCTCAACACATGGAATTCTAGACAGATAAAACCCTTGGGAACAGTAATGGGAATAGCAATATCATGAGGGTAGTGAATGGTGGGAGTAGGGGCGTGAGAAAGGGGGAACCCATCAGAAGATTGGATATATAGTGCCCCCCGAGGGGACAAATAACAAATGTGGATAAAGGGAGACAATGGACAATGTAAGATATGTAATAGCAATAATAATATATAATTGATCAAGGAGTCATGAGGTTGGGAGGGAAGGGTAAAAAGAGAAACTGATACCAAGGGCTCAAGTAGAAAGAAAATGTTTTGGTAATGTTGATGGCAACATATGTACAAGTGTGCTTAATACAATTGAATGATGGATTGTCATAAGATTTGTCATATGATTAATAAAAAATAAGAAAAATGTACAATACAAAATAATGAGAGACCAGGCTTACTGATTAGATAGAGACAGGTAGACTCCCCAAGACTGTCCCTTACCGTTTAGGTTTGGAACTCACCTCTGCTGCATTAGAATAGTCAAGCATTTAAGATTGAAAGGGCAGCATTTACCCAAGGACAAAATTTAGAGGGTTAAGAAAGAAAGAGGAATAGAAACAAGAAACAGAGGTAGTGTGCTAAGTGATAGTACATTGATGGTATTGCAATAGATCATTTGAATCAGATTGATTGTGTGTGAATTGCTTAAGAATCTACTCTGTAAACCTTTACTTAATTCACAATAAAAGTTTTGTTTTTAAGGAAATCCATGCTTAATTATTTTATGATACTCATTTTCCATGATTTTTTTGAAGACCCTTCTAATTAGTGATTTACCTTCCCTTCCCACATTTGGTAACTATCAAGAAATTTTTCTATTAGTGTGAAAAGCTTTTCTTGACTTTTAAAAATAGGAATCTCATATATCTGTTATTTTGTGATTGACTTCTTTAACTCAGCATAATGTTCTCCAGGTTCCTTCATATTATAAGATTTTACCAAAAAAAGATTTTACAGACTCGTCATTATTCTTTAATAATGTGTAGTATTCCATCGTATGTGTTATCGTTTGTTGTCTTCAGCCATAAAAGCAAGCAATCTACCTCATAAAGAAGTTATGATGATTAAATAATAAAAATAGAGTATATTGAATGATTAGATGAATTTGTAAACCAAGAGACCGATCAAGAGAATGCAACTATCCAAATTGGTTAGATTAAAGGAGAGAATATAAGGTGTAGACTTCAAATGACGTTGGCACCTCTTAAACATTGTTAGCATCTGTTTTCTGAAATTTAGAACCCCCAAATTTCAGTGTGTTAGGATTAGAAGATGCCTTATTTTTTCTTTATTCTAATTGTATGTACTAATTAATTTGTGGTATGTGTGTGTGTAGAATCCCAAGTCTTTGACTTCTCTACTCATTTAGAAGCATTTTGTCTTCGCCCGCAAAAGAATGAGAGCCCTGAGTAGTGTTCCACAATTTATTTAATAAATGACTGTCTTAAAACCCATGAAAATTATTTTTCTTAAAATTATAACTTAATTATAGCAAACCTACACAAAGTAGAAGAAAAATGACAACTGATTGGAATTTTCACTCTTCCACTCTATTCCTCCCCACTTCTCCTCCCTTTATTTCTTTCAGGATTTTGAGCTGGTTCTTCCTCAGTTCAGTCATGACCAAGAAAGCCAAAGTAGGACAAACTAGAACTTGCAAGATGTGGGTGCCTGGAATAATAACTAGAACAGGGAAAATACAGGTTGATACCTTTCTAGGAGCCTAATCTCCGTAGAAAACAAGAGCCACCTTGAATAGTGACCAAATTTCTGGATAAGAAAAGTCTAAAACAACAATGCCTTGGCTCAAACATAGTGTCCATTTGAATGTGTGTTTTTCCACACAGCCCTGGAAAAAATCCAATTTCCCAACTCGCTATGCCTCTTTCAAGTCTCTTATTCTAGCCTTTCAACCTGTAGTTTTTCATATTATCATCCTCGGCACCCACATTTTACAAATTCTAGCCCATCTGGTTCTAGTCCATCTGGTTTTTTTAGTTGATCATGATCGAACCAGTTTAAACCAGTTTAAGCCTTGGATAAGTTTTATTAGATTAAATGATTTCGAACTTACTAGCATGGCATTTTTAAGGTTAAAACAAAAGAAGACAACTTAAATAGCTAGCAATTAAGCAAATGCTTTGACTTGAAGGTGATTATTTATTCATTTATTAGTCAAGAAGTATTTATGAAATAATTGAGATACATCCTTTGAATGCCATGACCATAAAGATAGATCTCTGTCTTCTGGGAACTTGCAGTCTAGTGAGAAAGACACGTAAATAGGCCGTTACCAAATTGAGTGGTAAGTCATCTGACAAAAGTAGACACTAAGTGTTGTGGGAGCACAGATCTGGAGGAAGTATACCTAGGGTAAGGACTGATAGATTAATAAGATTAGGGAATTAGAAAGAAGATGGTATACTACAGATCAAAGCCTAGGTAGAAGAAATGTGACTAAAATGTGTCCTGCAGGAAGTGGGATTTTAGGGGTAGAATCAGTAAAGTGTTAGGTGAACATTACCCCAAGACATTGAGAATCTGGCTGTGATGGATTAGAAAGTAAATTGTCAGATAGTTCACCGGTTTTCATTTAATCTCTTTGGATATCTGAAGGACTAGAATGTGAGACAAGTTTCTATGATCAAAACTAATATCCAACAACTTTGTCTTTCCAGCATAAGATGTAGGAAGTAAAGCATTGACCCTTACATTTTTCTAATACCTAATACCTAGGACTCAAGTTACCTGATTGTAAGCCCTTTCTTTCTCACTATCTTTTGCAGGTACCCTAGAATACGTTTCCACACGGGCCTTGTGGACGCCCACCTCTACTGCCTGAAAAAATACGTCGTGGATTTCCTAATGGAAAATAAGTAAGAAAGAGGGAAACCCATAGTGCTTAACAAGCTGCTTTGTGACTTAGCAGCTTTAAACCTGATAATATTGGATAATCAGTATATGTAATTAAGCACAATTGGTGTCAGCTTTGTTTTAGAAGTTAAATCCTTTTATCAACTTACTGTGTTTTTGTCTGTATCATAAAGTCATTTGCTTGAATTTGGGGGCCTACTATAAAAAGGAGCTCTGGTGGCGCTGTTGGGAAAGCAGTGGACTATTAATTTCAAGGTGGGCAGTTCAAACTCACCCACCGTTCCACAGAAGAAAGATAAGGCTGTGTGCACCCATAAATATTTACAGCCTTTGAAACCCTTTATAGTCACTATGTGTCAGAACTGACTCATTGGAAGTGGATTTTTTAAATAAACCAAGCAGAATATATATGTTTAAATTAATTGTAATTCATGATAGCGCTTTTTGCACTGATCAAGCTCTTTTTACTTTTCCCTGCAAGGGTGAACTTCTCAACTCTTGTCCAGTTGTCTCCAAACAGATATTCTTCCCCTAGGCAATTATCCTATAGATGCCTCTTCATAGCAAAGGCAAAAGACTGACCCTAGAGACTTTTTTTTAAAAAAGAAGGAAATCACTTCTGATCCTGGAAAAACAGCCCTGTCCACTGAGTACACCCTCATGAGTTCATAGAAACAAATTTGGTACTTTTCCTAATTTTGCTTAGAGAACAGAATTGTTGGTCTTAAATACTTCTCAGAGGCTGTGTCTGGTAGATCTTAAGACTTAGATTTCCAAGGGGCCCCTCCATTTTCAATTAGAAAAGATTTAATATTTGCAGCTCTACCCTGTCTTTATAGGGTCGTGCTGAGTTGGAATTGACTCGATGGCAATGAGTGAGTGAGGTGCATCTTGTCTCCCTTGATGACTTCTGGATAAGTTCCTACAAGGGTGATTAGTACTGGTGGATAGGAAAGCAGGCATGCAAGGTACCACAGCAGCAAACTCCCTCAGACCAGCTGGGGAAAAGAGCCTGAGGAGCAAAGTTTAAATAGTAAGTGTAAATCATCCTTCATTGATGGACTCAGATACATACAATCATGCTTAAGGGGAAGGAGGAGTATTGTTCTGTGCCAAGTATGATATTTCTTGCAGATCCTCTTCAATATATGCTAAACTCCGGTAGGGAAGGTCCATGTACCAAACCAAAACCCATTGCCATCAGTTCCAACGCAGCAACTTCATAGGACACCCTTTGGGTACAGAAGGCACTAAATTTTTATGAGAGTAGAAAGCCTCGTCTTTCTCCCTCAAACTGATTGATAGGTTCAAACTGATGAATTTGTAGTGAGCAGGCCAACACTTGGTTGAATTATTTGGATTCCCATGAAGTTTTTCAAAGTCTTGTTGGATCTTTATTTTCTCTTCCCCTGTTCTGCTTTGACTTGATATTCTGATTGTTGTTGTTGTGTGTGTGTGTGTGTGTGTGTGTGTGTGTGTGTGTGTGTTTCACTCAATAAATATTTATTGAACAATTATTTATAAGTCAAGCATTGTCAACAGTGAAATCAACAATGAATAAGAAAACTTGGGTCCAATCTAAGCTCTGCAGTAGGTTGAGGGATATTGCTGTTTAGATAGTAGGGAAACTTCCTACTAAGATTTAAAGGGTGATCTAAGACCTGTTTTCCAGTTGCCAGGGTAGGCAATCCATATCTCAAAAATAAAATTAACTCTTGGCCACTGAAAGGTTTATTTTACTCCCAAATGAAAATGAAGCTGTATGCAATAAACCCTGACCTTAACATGCTGGGATGGAATGTCACAGTGTTTTTTGTTTTGTTTTGTTAACCTAATAAATTCCCATGTATCCATCACACAAATTCAACAGTTATCAATTTATTGCTTATCATTTATTATATATATCCCTCATTTCCCTATTATCAAATCCAGATTATTTTAAGTTATTGTGATATAATTTTATTTGTGGATATTTCAGCATATCTCTAAAAGATAGTTATTTTATTTTCTTAAATAAAACCTCAATACTGTTAGCACACTTGAGGGGAGGGGGAAAAGGGGCAATGCTTCCGTAATATGATCCAATAGGATTGTGACTTTTGGTGTCTAGATATGCAGACAGTTTTGTACCAAAACTAGTCCCAGCCTGGCTGTTATAACTCCTTGGGAGCTAATTTTATCAGTACCACCTAGTTCCCATACCTGGCAAGTATAGCTCAATGGTATAAGCCTTGAAGGCAAGCCTAAAGTAGGTGCGTTACACCTGATTTCTGGCTAGAGGCTCTGCCAAATGGGACTTTCCCACATTCTTCTGCAGGTAGAGAGAGATTATTCTCAAGGCATGTTGTTCCCTCCTCCTTTGTAGTCCAAGCCTTAGGAAGCTGATCTCTTAGGAGGTCAAGAAGCCCAAGCATTAGCCCAGCTTTTTCGCTTTCTCCTAGACTGACACTGGCAGTCTAGGAGTATGCTAACTTTCTGAGCGAAAGCCCTGGAAAACAAGTAGTTTCTACTACTTTTAGTTCTGATTTTATTTTAGCATAGATACCAGGAAACATTTTGTCTTCCTTTGCCTTTCTCTAACTTGCTAGATTTGCTAATCCCTTTATGTCTACTAGACTTAAAAACCAAACAAACACTGAATCAATTCCAACTCATGGTGACCCTATGTGGCTCAGAATAGAACTACAATCCACAGGGTTCTCAATGGCTAATGTTTCAAGAGGCAGATCACCAGGCCTTTCTTCCAAGGCACCTTTGGGTTCATAATGAGCACATTTACTGCAAAACACACACACACACACACACAAACACACACACCACCCCCACAATTGCCATCAAATCCATTCCAGCTCATAGCAACCCATGTGTTTCAGAGTAAAGCTGTGCTCTGTATTGTAGGGTTTGTAATGACTCTGCTCTTTCAGGCGGCTGTTGCTAGGCCTTCTTCTTTGGTCCTTGGGATGAATCAGACTGGGGTTAATACTCAAGTGCTTAATTGCACAACCCAGGGACTCCTTAGAAAACTTAAAGGAGATTAATCTACTTACAATTTTAGGAAGATTGAAGCTGAGTGTTTTCTTCATGTCCAGAAGAATCCATGATTGTAATCAGCTTCTTTTAGTATTGGAACCTGGTCTTAATATTTGGGTGATGTAGTCTTGGGATTTGCTTTCAAAGCAGGAAGATAAAGAATGAAGAATGTTACTTCTAATTTAATACCAGCCAGGCACTAGATACTGTTCTGAGTGATTTTCATATACATTAGCTCATTCCTTAAAATAGTTGGCTCATTTATATATTCTTATATTATAGATAAGGAAAGTGAGGCTCAAAAGTAATTGTCTTAAGGTCATATGAAATCAATTACTGTTGATGAATTTGTTGCTGACAACATTCACCAGAGATAGCTGAGATCTCTGTTTCATAGACACATATATACATGCACATATACACGTCCTTGGGAAGATTGGGGTAGTCACAGCTTCCTGCCTTAGCTATTTAGGAATGCAGAGGAATACGACTGATCCCCACAAAGTGAAGGCGAAAGTTGGGAGTAGACAGCCATCCTGCAAGGTAATTAAAGCCACATGCAAGATGAGGTCATGGAAATAGCTAGAAAGCCATGAATAAGCATGAAAAGCAGAGGAATGAATCAGAGATGAGGGACCATGTAATTCTTTATGAGATAGGCTTGGTTTCCTGCTATTCTATTCAAGAATGCATGTGACTTGGCTGAACTTGGTTTCCTGTCCTTAGATGTCCAAGAGATTGCATTGGTATGTCTTTTACTCAAATAACAGAACAAAATTACCGTATATACTCATGTATAAGCCGAGTTTGTCCAGCACATTTTTAATGTAGTTTTTGTGGTAAAATTTGGTGCTTTGGCTGATATTCAGGTCAGCTTATACTCAAGTATATATGGTAAGCTGAAAGCATATAGCTTACACCCCTTCTCATTAGGGCTGTGATGTGGCTGTACACTGACTTCTAAAGATACAGGTGCTGTCAAGATTAGATTGGGGATAGTCCCCTGTGAACAATTTATTTTGGTCTTTGGGGCTCCTAGGAATCATTTGCTGCTGTGGAATGCCTTGCAGCCTATCATGTTGTTAGGTGCAAAATCTAGTATATCAATCTTTATTCATTCTTTTGTTTTTTTATGACAACTAGGAAGTTCATACTTTGTATATTCCAAATTCCCACTATTCTTTATTTTTGCAGCTGCGTCTTCTCATTTTGAGTTGTGGCCCATGAGCAGATGAAGGTCCCATGGGCTTTACCCCATTCATGTCATTATGATCTACTTTACTTTAAGTAGTGAAGCTCTTCTTCAGTCATATTTTGAGTGCTTTCTGTTCTGCTTTATTCATTAGCCCTCCATTATCTGACATTGTTTCGATGCTATGCGTAAGGTTGTCAGTGGCAAATTCTTCTCAAGTGGACAGCCTACTCCATCTTCATCGTCTGTTCTTAGTCTGGAAGCTCCTCTGAAACCTATTCATGTGGTGACCTTGCTGGCATTTGAAATACCAGTGACATAGCTTCCAGCACCTTAGCAACCCACAAGCCACCACAGTATGACAAACTGGAAAGGCAAGTGGTGGCCGCAATAAATGTCTTTATCTTAACTCAGCCCTTCCAAATATTGGGAAAGAGGTAGAAAATCTACTTTTATTGCGCGTCTGAAACTCGAGTTGACAAAACACTTTTCACAGTTCTCCGTATTTGTGTTTCCTTGCTTCTACTTTTTTTTAATTGAAAATATTGATCTATTTATTTATTT